TGAGATTGGTCAAGTGAAGACAGAATTTTTGCTGCTGCCCATATAGTCCTTTATCAAATGTGGCCTGGAGAAGCATCCTTCAGCACTGTGACACATAGTATTGCATAATGATGTTGAAAGGTAGGAAAGAATTATGCCCAAGATGAAAACTTATTGAATTATATATTAAATTTAGTGTATATAAGTTATAAATTGTTTAAATTTCCAATATTTATGGGGGAAAGAGTACTTATTATTGTGTATAAAGCATATGACACCATACAACATTGATTTTTATGTCCACATTGTTTACACACACACACACACACACACTTATTCTATTATGTTGCCCCATAGATTCATGTTGGTGACATGGTAGTAGATATTGAATCTTACCACCAATAACACAATTTCTTTTGCCTTTTAGCTGCTGAGCTGAAGTCTGACAAAATAACATCTAGTGGTTATTTAATTTCTCCATGCAAAATAAATTGCACCCATTGATATTCATCAATCCTTTCCAAACATTTATGGAGATCAAACAGTGGATGTGAGCACATAAAAGTAGTGGCTAATGTATGTGAAAAAGTGGGTCATTTTCGTGGATGCAGACTTTCACATACACAATATGCAGGCTGTTATCCATCACTTGCAAAATTTACATCAGCAATGGTAGTAACTATGTGGAAAAATATTCTTTTGTAGCTGAAAACATGCTTTATCCAATTGTGCTATTTCTGCTCCCCATATCTGTTGTAATTTCTATGAAAATATATGTGTGCATTACACACACACATATATATATATATATATATATATATATATATATATATATATAAGATAAAATTTTCTTTACCAATGTGTTTTGTCCTCTGATGAACTTTATCAAATGTAAGGATATTTTTGCACCAAGTATCTATAAACAGAAGTAAAAATATTACATTTCCAAAATTTTTACATTTATGGACCCTCATAGATCTTCTTCAGGCTAACTGTGAAATTATGAAGGATTCTAAGTGATATAATTTAGTGCTTAAGGAACAAAAGTGAGTAAATGTTGTTATGGTTGTGCTGTTGAAGTTTTTTAATGTAATTATTATTCATTATTTGATTTTAATTTGTATTTATTTATTTTAAATAACAGGTTTTGATTTAACCGTTTTCTTTTAATTTTCTATAAACTTTTATGGTCATGTAAAAATTTTTATGGTCATGTTAAAAAAAATATTTAAATTAAAAGAAAATTGTTAAATCAAAACCTTGTATTAGTTAAATTAAATAAATACATAAATAATTTGTCTAATTAAAATAAAATAATAATTATGTTAAAAAAATTCAACAATAACAACATTTATTCACTTTCATTTATTAGGCATTAAATTACATCACTTAGCATCCTCCATAGTTTAACACGACTTTCACAGTTAGCCTGAAGGATATTTATGAGCATTCTTAAATTTAAAAATTTTAAAAACTTAATGATATTTTACTTTCTGTCTACAAATACCTGGTGCAAAATAAAATCCTTATATTTGCCTTAATAAAGTCCATTTGAAAAAAATGTGTCAGTTAAGAAAAGTTTTAAGACATATTCATATTGTCTTTATACAGATATATTTTTATTTATATCTGAATTTTTACACATATAAATAGAGAGAGAGGAAAAGAGTGTTTGATTAATAAATAAGAATTTTCTGTTTCTGACAACAGATATTCTAAGTGAGGATCACATGATTATCTCAGTTGAAGAATAATCCAAAAGATCAAATTCAGCAAAAAAACATGTTCTAGTGCACTTTGAACATAACTTTTAATCAGTGTAAATGGGAAATGTTTTTCTTACATCAAAGGTTTGTTCATTTTAAAATTAAAATGAACAAACCTTTGATGTAAGAATTATTGTTATTAATTTGTTTTAATAATTTTTAGTAGAATGGCTATATTAGATAAAAAGAATCAGAATTATTTTTTGTTTTTGTACTATCTTGCATTAAGAAAGTAATCAGCTGTCAAATGTTTGATATTTTTATACTTAAGGTACTCCATATAATTTTTAAAAACATCTTTCAAGCTGAAATTTCTTCCAAATCATTTACAACTGAGTGTAATAGATTATGAATCTTAGCCATTTGATAAAAACTAATGTTTCATTTTATATTTCTTTAAAGAATTTCATCAAATAAATATTTTTTTGTTTTTATATAATTTGTGATATATATTATTTAAATACATTTGTGCACACACTCTTATATTTCAAATGAATCTTGTTGAAAATAATTTATTTGTAAATTTCTGACAATTAAAAAAGCTGTTTCAAATATGTATCTCAGAGATGTTTCTCCAGGTTGTAAATTTGGTTAAAAATTTTAATTTAAAAAAATTTTCTATTATTTTTGCTAAATTCTACTTTCACTTGGATGTAGTGGGTATTTATAGGCAAATAAGTTCAGTAAAATCATCACTCCCTTACTCTTATTCAATTCTCACAGGCACTCATTGTAATCGTGTGCCAAACAAACTTTACCCTATATATATATATATATATATATATATATATATAGAGAGAGAGAGAGAGAGAGAGGATGTCAGAGTTGTCTTCCAAAAAGAGAGTTTATACTTTGCCTGACACCCTTTTTTCCACTCATGAATTTTCAAAGAGACTAAAAACATTTTATGAACCAGCTACTGACTTTTATTTTATATATTTTAGTCAAGTCCATTGCTTTATTTTGAATGAAGAATGAGAGTTAATCTTCTGCTATGTCACAACCAAGTGGATGAAAATTGGAAAATTTTGTGAACAAAGTTGGAAATAGGATGGACTTTGAACCTGACAAGGAAATTGGCAAACTTTTTCTGTGAAAAACTGATCAAAACTGTCATGCGATGCTTAGATTTATCTCGAAGTAGATGAATACTAAATTCCCCCCCAAAAGATATTGATATATATTATCACAAGTGATCTTCAATCCTGATATTCATGAAATGGTTAAATTGTGCTCCACACTCTCCATAAAAATATTTCATCAAGTTAATCATTATTTGAATAATTACCCTATTTATTTGATATTTTAAAATGCTTCTTGATTGTAATTCAGTCACTTCAGTGAGAGAAACTCATGTCTACTTTATTTGCTGTGGGTGGGGATAGTATATTGGGAATATAAATATCCACAAACTTAAAAATGTTTTTAAAAAAGACCAAAAGAAAGTCAGAAAAAGAGCAAATTCAGTTTCTCTGTGGTTCCACTTAAACCTTTTACTCTCTGACAAGATGTACAATATTGCAAAAAGATTTATTGAAATTGCCTCACTGATTATCACTAATAGACAAAATATACTATCAATACCTTTAACTCTTAACACAAGATGAAGACCTATTTCAGTGATTGTAAATTTTAATAATTGTGGCTGATGCATATTGTTCTTTTTATCTCAATGCAAGAACATTTTCATCAAACCAGATGTTAAACCTGATTGCAAATTTTATTGCAATCATTTTGAATATCATAATTAAAAATCATTATGACAAGGGTTCATATTTTTGTCCACATCACTATAACAAAGAAAAAATTCATTTATATAAACATTATATATTACAATATATTTAACTATTATAATTATTATTTGTTGCTGTTATTACTAACAATACTAGCATTATTATGACTATTACTAAACATTATTATTTCTACTGAAATTAGAGTTATTATAAGTAATAATTATTTTAAACAATTTCTCATGTTTTTACTTACTATGCATAATGAAATTAGTCAGCAACAATTAAAATAAATATATTCACTATAAATACAGAAGAAAAATGTTAATCCAAACAGTATAATGTTATTAATAAGAGAAAAATTTGAATTAAATAGTGGTTTTAAAAAGTTCCTAATTTCCTGTGTTGTAATAATTTGGCTTCATAGATTCAATGCCAGTTTCTTTGCTTCACAACAAAACAAACACATTTCAGAGCCCAACTCATTCAAAAAAAAGAAAAGAAAAGAAAAAAAAGTAAATATAATTTTATTTTAAAGTCAAAGAAATATTTTGTTCAACTGGAGACAATTTTTCATTTGATGTTTTTTAATGGAAGAAAAATTGAAATCCTTTCTGGCTTTATCTGTGTAGCTTTTTGTAAATGCATCTTTTTTTTATTGAGGGTGGGGTCAACAATTGTTTTGTAATTCTTATTTTTTTCTTCTTTAGTTTAAAATAAACCCCTTTATACCTTTTTTGTTTTTTCATTCACTTTTTCATTCTTAAACTCAGTTTCTTTATGTTTTTATTTCATTCTTTAATTTTTCATTTTGTCACTATTTATTCTTCCATTTAAATTTCATTTTTCCAAAATTCCAACCAAATTCTTCAATACAACTCTGCCAAAAGACATTGAAACAAAGATTCTTCAAAATCTACCATTGTTATGTCATTCAGTTATACATACCACAAACTTTACAGTCAGATACAGCCAACAGACAACCCCACCCCAAAACAACTGATGCTTATTCAATGGTGAAAAGTTCTTGTATAAACAATGAACATGGGGGAAAAAATTTAGCAGTAAGATATTAAAAAAAAAAAAGAAAGAAAAGTTTTTCTATGAATTAAAATGAAATGTAAAATGACTGGACAAATCCAAATAGATTTCCTCAATTTAAACATTTATCCACACACACATATCCCTCTGCATCCTCTTCTGAGATACATACACAAAGAAGAACAGATAAAAAAATGATGAAGATGAAGCTGGCAGGTAGAGATTCATGATGTCAACCTCCCCAACTCACTACTCCTAAGTTTGTTTTCTTCTCCTCCCTATCACATTGAAGGAATGAACAAAGATTTTAAAAAGAGAAGTTTGGGGAGGTATAGAGACAAACACATGCATACACAAGAAAAGGTAGTGTGGAGTGTAACCCTTAGATGCAAATGCAAGAAGAGGAGGAAGAGAGGGAGGAAGAGGTGAGTGGAAGCAAGATACAAAGTTGAAGTACTTGAATTACCAGCCAGTGTTCTCACATTCAATCAGACTTTAAGTGACCCTTATTTTGATGTTGGCAAGGCTTGACTGAAAATAGAAAAGAAAAAATACTTTGTCAAAAATAATCATGAATAAATAGCAAACAAAAATATTTTTTTTATTAACATACACTTATTTTTTGAAAGAACAAAATTATGACATTATTCCAGAAATTATATAAAATAGCATCTTTATCTTAATTGTTTTGATCATACCATTTTGGCCAGGAGTTGTTTGAAAAGTCAGAGTACACAGAATGTTAGGAACAAAGTGGATACACATCAGATAATTAATTCAGTAAGAATATTTACTCTTAAAATTTACAAGTCAGACATGCTACAGCTGAAATAGTTTTTTTTTAATTGGTGTGTATGCTAAGCAACAGTCAACCAAAGGAGAAAAGATAAAGATTAATTTGACTCAAATGACAGAAGGTAACTATTTTCTAACATAATATGAGACATAAAATATCAAATATAAATTTTTTTTTTATAATACAATTAAAAGCTTGTTCTTTTGTCACTATTTAAGCCATAGTTGAAGGAATTTATACCTTTTCTTCAAGGGCAAGGCATGAATCCATGAAGGAACAGAAATGTAATCCAAATTCCATTTATCAGTTGGACAGAGGAACATGAAATCCTGGTTTTAAAATTGTTTGTTTGCATTTATACAAAATTCAATTTTGATTTCAAAGACTCAATTTACAAAAGTGACAGATTACACTAAACAAATATTGTAATTATTACTAAAACAGACAACTTTATCAAGCTATATTTTGCTGCTGAAACCATTTTCTTAGTGATCTTAATTGTAAAACAATCAAGATGTCAATAATCATAACAAAATAAAGCATAAAATAGGATTATAATCATGTGAGCCAATCATTTGCAGTGATAGAAGTCTGCAAGAGAATCTGAAAAAAAATTTGGTAAACTGGAAAATGGCCAACAACATGGACAAAGTCAGTCTACCCAAGAAAAACAACCTACAACTGTGCCAAAATTACAAAATTATAAATCTGATCAGCGACACAAGCAAAGTGATGTTCAAAAAAACTTCTGAACTCTTACCACAAGTCAAACTGGACCCTGCAGTGGAAAAAGTACAGAATAAATTTTTGATCTTCTTCTTCTGTGTGATAAATATGACCAACATTAATAAGACATAGACCAGATTTTCACACATTTTCATCAACTTCAAGAAAGCATTTTTTAACAAGTGTGGCAAGATACAGTGTGCACAACCAAGAAGTAGATGGTCCACACATTGATCAACACACTATGCAACAGCTGTATGCAAAAACCAAAAGTGCAGTTCTTGTTCAATAATTGTCAATGACTAATCTCACACATCATTTGGGATCTTCTGTCTCCTACACTCTTCAGCATCTTCCAAGAAAATATAATAACTAATGTTCTAGAAGGAAGACACTCTGGTACTAATCAACATTGTCAGATGTGCCATATCAAATCTTTGCTTTGCTGATGATATTGATGAGTTGGCAGGCTGTGAGAAAGAACAGATAAAAATGACAAACCATTTGGACAAAATCATGACCAAGTACAGAATGAAGATCAGTTTTGAGAAGATGATACTCATGACAAACAACCAAGAGCCAATCGAGACAAGGTCAATACCAATAGACAACAGCTGGAAACAGTGAAGCAGTTTAAGTACCTTGGTGCCATCATCAATGAAAAAGTGTTGAAGACCAAAGTATTGGTAAGAGTTGCACAAACTACACACAGCACTTGCAAGACCCATGTATAGAGATAAGAATATCAGTTTCCAAACAAAACTAAACCTCCTACATGCACTGTTTCTATCTCTTTTCTTGTATGTAGTTCTGGACTCTCATGGCAGAGCTTTGGAGAAAGATCCAAGCAGTAGCAGTGAAATGATTCAGAAGATTCCTTGGCATCTCTAAAAATGACCACACAAAAAATGAAAAAGTCAGGAAAAGTATCAAACAGCATTTAGCATCTGACCATAAGTAACAAAGGGGAGATAATAAATGTAAAGGAGGCATTAAAGAGAGAAAACCGAGCCAACAAATCTTATAAGCAGAAGAGCAAAAACATCCTAAGAAAATAGATTTAAAAAAATAAAAGTTGTCATTTGAACAGTAGTTTTTCTTTTTGTCTAAATGAGGATAATTATTGCTTATTTTTATCTAAATAGTCATATATATTATACTTTCTAAAAAAAAAATGTACTTTCATCCAAAACATCAAGGAACATGAAAACAGTGATAGAACAGAACTGAAGTGGCAAAAGGTATAAAAGAGATGGGAGAATGATTGTTGAGTTGAGGTTTTTGTTTATTTTTTTACCTGACATCCACTGTACATCCCAGTTTGTCTAGGACTGTCCTGACTTGATGTCCTAGCTGTCAGGATTTTTTTTTGTATTAGCCTTGAAGTTTAAGTGGGTGTTGGGTTATGAAAATACTGTATTAGACAAGAAAATTAAACCTATGATGAAAATTAAAGCTTAAAAATTTTGGTAAGTCTACATCCATTTCTATGATGACCCCCTCTTGAATAAAAATGACGATATGTCCTTTTTAAAAGTCACTCATCAACAAAGACTCCGACAATTCCAATTTTTAGGTATAATTTCAAGTTTACCTCAAATAGATGACCCCTATTTTACCCAAAGATACTTTTGACCTTTATTTCTTCTGACAATTCTTCCTAAAAACAGGAAAAATAACAGATCACTGGTAGTTTTTGTCACATTTTTAATCATTTACCTTTTTTCTCTTTGTTTTCTTCATCTGCACCTTCATCAACATCTGAAATGGCACCTTCCTCATCAAAAGGTTCAACACAACAGATGCTGTAACAGACAATACTAATGATGACAGCAGGCAGGCCAAACATCAGCAAAAACAACCATCTGGAAGTTGCCCATATTGTCTAAAAAAAAAAAAAAAAAAGAAAAGATGTGAAAAGACAGAATGGAATGGGTGGCTTTGGATGTACAACTTTGATCAGATAATTTACAGTCGGAAACACATAAGGAAATAATTTACCTCATTAACAAATTAACTTGCTGTCTATAATTTGTTTTGTAAAATAACTACTTGAATGATTATTGTTTTAGTTTAACAAGGGGAAAAATGGCTTCATATAGATAAAAGGGGTCACTGAAAAGTTCTAAGCCTGACCTACTTCCCAAAATTTGAGTTATTTTGTTCATTTATATTTTAAAATGCTAATTTCATGCTTATTTTTTAAAACTGTTTCACATCATTGATTCCTGAAATTATTGATTGATATGTCCCAGAAAGGGATATATTTTTTTGAAGTAGCAAAGTGGTTTTGGACTGAGTAGGACAATCTAGCAGGTAACCTTAATGGATTGGTCCTCATCGTAGTGGTAGGTAATAAGCGTAGCCATTAGGCAAAGTCAATCGGTGTTGTTAATAGGCTTCCTCCTGTACCTCCACATCAGTCTGTATTTATGGCTGACATCTGCCAATCATATTACTGTGAGGGGGAACCCAGGTGTATGCATATTCATGACATCATTGATCATGTTCATAACCTAATTTTATCTCATTGACAAATCTTTTCCCAAAGAAACACAAGAGATATTCAGGTAACACTTTGGATTTTTAATTTATGAGTAATTACTTGGATATTCAGAGACTGTCAGCAGATGCTAATGTGTCCAAAAGCTGACCAGAAGCAATATTGGCTGGACATCTTCAAGTTGATTTTGTAACATTTTTAGTAGTCAAGTGAAAATCTTTTGGAATGACAAATCAATGATGATTAAACATGGTTATACAATCAAAATGATCCAAAGACCAAATACCAGTTTCATATACTTACATCATTTACATTCTCTACAGTCAAAGAAATTTAAAACCCAAAAATTAACAGGAAAGGTCATGACCACAAAGAAATCAAACATTTTAATGACTCTCTTCAGAAGAGTCAAACAACTAATGCAAAATACTTCTCTAACTTGCTGTACTAACTAAAGGAAGCATTGAAAGTTGTTCTCTTCTAGCAAGACAATACTCTTACTTATAGGGCTGACAAAGTAATAGATGTTTTGAAGAAATTGGAGTTTGACTATATAGACAATCTAACCATACACCAGACCATACTCAATGTGCTACTTTGTTGTTTCCAATCCTTAATCGAGTTTAAAAGGGATGAAATGTTTGAATTACTTGGAGATGATAGCAGCAGCAGAAAAATATTTCAATGGCCAAACATGTTTTTTGAAGGGTTTAAAGAAATCCACGAAATGATGTGCCAAATCTGTTGAACTTTGTGATATATGGAATAAATAAAAATAGGTCATTCCCTTCTTTGTCAAACTGAGAACTTTTCAACACTATGTATAAAGACTTATTTCACACTCAAGCAATAAATATCCTTTGATGAATGTAAGCAAATCTTCTCTGATTGCTTTATTATTAAAGTTATACTTTTAGGGTTTAAGGGGGAAAAAATTAATACAATTTCAAGATTAGGGAATCACAAAATCTTAGACAAGCAAATAGCATTTAATAACACATGGTATTCAAGATGAAAAAATGGAAGATTTTATTTCCCACTAATATCAGAGGTCATTGTACCAAAGCCAAAATTTTAAATAAGGATCTTCAAAGCAAAACAGGCCATTCAAACTTGAAAGACTGGGATAACACAATCTTTGCCACCCCCTTTCCTGATATTTGGCCTTGTGTCACATAAACTTTGGAAATATTGAGAATATTCTAATCAATGTTATTTGGTCAGTTGAAATTAGGGAACCAATAAATATTACAGAAAATATTTCTTATTACCTATCTTCCATATATGATATTTTTATTGTGAACTTTGACCGGGAAATGAGGGAAGGTTCTACTCCAAAAGAACAACATTTTATTTCACTTAAATGATTAAGGTATTTCCATAAGTCTGCAGTTAATATACCAACTTAATTCAGATGCACCTTTGTAAAAATGCCCACATACAAAAGACCTTGTGCCACATTCTATATCATAAAGAGGGTTGGGATAAATACCACCAAGTTTCTAGTGGGAAATGTCTGATAATAAGTTCAGTTAATCGCTAGGGGAAATGCAACTATATTTGGTTACTTCCTTTAGTGTATAATGTAAAAGTGAATTGATTTGTAAACTATTGGTTGAATCAGTCACACAATCAGTGCTGGTCAACTGATGATATAACTAAGCAATTAATGACTCAGACAAACAGCAACATTATAGTAACTCAGGCTTGGTGCCAATACACAGATACCTTTACCAGATGAGCCACCAACAAAAAACACAATTTAAATAATTCTATACATTTAGAATAATGAGATAGAACTCTGATGGCATTTAGGAAATAATTTAGACTAACATCTTCATCTTCAAATATCATATAATTAAAAGTAAATAGTTTCAGTTTTTAAAGATAAAAAAAACATTTCTCTTGTATAAAAATCCTGCTAGAATATTTGACTTACCATAATTGTTGTCATAAAGTCATATCCAATTCGTTTTATTCGTTGAACAAATCCTGTCCCTCCCTGAGGCTGGAAAATAAACCAAGGAAAAACATTAAACATTCAACCTAAAAGAAAAAAATATGTAATTCAAATCCTAGCAAAAGAGAAAAATGATAATAGAACAAAGAACACAAAGTCAACAAAATATACAAGTCAACATTTTCACAATAAAATTGCTATTAACTAATCAATATTGGTAGAATTTTCAGGATATTTATATAAATATACAATGTAAATTTAGGATAACCTATTTTTAATGGAAACATTTATAATAACCTATTTCAAAAATTTTATTATTCAACTTTAGAGTTGTTCAGCATATTGTAAATAAATAAATAATATAATTATTGTTATTTATTCTTTAATTTCAGATATATAAAGATTCCTATTTGTTTTAAAAAAGAGAAACAAGATATTGTCAAATTACTGATTGATAGAAACATAACATTGAAAATTGTGGAAAAGTTGAATACATATCAAAGAAGAATTAAAAAAAAACTGACAAGAATGAATGAGAAAAAAAACTATCTTTAAGAATGTCACAAAAAGATTTATGAAAAATTATAATAAATGAGAAAAGTGGGTTGAAGATTTGAAGAAATGGTTGCCACAATGTAAACAAAGAGAAAAGGTGCCAATGTTACTTAAATATGATATGAAAATAACCAAACTACCACCATCAAAAAGAGGAATGTGTAACCTGGATGAAGTAGTACATGAAAACTAATTTCTTAACAGTAATTTTTAGTTATGAATGGAACTAATGGCTGTCATAAGGGTTGGTTTTTTCATGGGAATTGTCAATGATTAGGACACAACAGGAGGCAGGTGGAGTAATGTTTGGTGCATATATTGTTGGCAGTAAAATTATAGGTTACTTCAAATTTGATGAAAGTAACAAAATAAATGCAGAGAATTATTATAATTCTTAAACAAGAAATGTTGGGGGGGGGTAATTTCATAATCAAAAACCTTTAAGGATTCAAGCAAGTCAATTTTTCTTTACCTTTGGCAAAGCAGATTATTGCTCACCTTGACAAAAAAGGTTTCAAATATACCAAATTAATTCAAAGGCCCCCAACCTCTCCAAATATGAATCCAATAGAAAGATTGTGCTCCATCAGTTAAAAGAAAAGCAGAAAGAAAATGGGAAACAATATTCAAGTCAAGAAAATCTCTTGAAAGCAATGTTAAAATCAAAACAGTACAAAAAAATTAACAAAAGCAGATAAAATTTATAAAATGTTACTGAGCCCATATTAACATATAAAATAATAGAATAATCCATTCAGGTACATTAAATATTGTGTTAATAAAATATGTTTCTTCTGAATTTATTTATAAATAAACATTTTATATTGAACTTTTTATATTGACTTACTTGAACAGCAACACTTAATTAACCAATACCTATATCCACTATGCCACTCTCCTGAAAGACATCAATGGTGTATTTCTAAAACCTTTTAAATCCAATAATACAGTATTTCAACATTTGGTTATTATAGTAGGTTTGTACTATTTGATATTTTTTTATTTTTGAGATAAGAAATTGTCAATATATATTTGATTTATTCAAACTATTATTCCTATCTTTGGCTGTATACACTACCAGTCAAAATAATGAAAGCTGGCCAGAGGCTATTTGGTTGAAATGTTATCTATAAGAACATTGATAACAACTAACAATAACTTAAATAAATCAAACTATACTGACAATTCATCATCACAAGAATCAAACAAAATTATCTAATGTATTATATTAGTTTCTCTTATTTTTACTTTACTTTTTTTAGAAATTTAAACTTGACAGGAAATTGAAATGAAGACTTGTTTCAAACCGTGCATAAACTAGTTTCCAATTAATTCCTATAATAAAATACCATTTCCAATGCATTCTTAGAAAAAAAAAAATCCTCTTTCTAAAGCATTTTTATATTTCACTTTAAAGCATATCTTTGGAAATTCTTTTCAATGTTTTTCTCTAGAGAATTACAGAAAAAGTTTTCTTACAGTTTTAGCTTAGGTGAATTGGCTAAATAAGGATCTGCTACTTTTCAGTTGAAATATCTCAAAAACTATATAAAACATATGTTTTGTAAAGACATTTGCAAAACTGAATGGCACAAAATAAAAGAACATGGATACTTACAGGAATTTTATCTTGGGCAATATCCAAAAGAAACTGACGATACTCTTTAAGAGTAAAGTCCTTGATTTCTTGCTCTGGTATGTAGTAGTACTGTGACTTGGCATCATAAACCAGCAATGCTGGCAATTCAACGTTAGACATAGTAATACTATTCAATGGCTCACCGTCTGTGACAAGAGCAAATTGGAATTGGCTGCAATTACAGAGAAACCAGGAAGCACACATTCAAGAAAGGTTTGATGGAATTTGCAAACACAATAAAAGGTTGGTTATTCACTCATCTAAGAGAGAAGTTTTATCAAACATTGACTGGTTAAAGATATTAAGTTACCAAAATATTTTCAAATTAAAACTGGAACTCAACATTTTGAAAATTTCTTGAAACAGAATATTTTATAAAGTGCTGATAATTAAAAACAGAAAAGTTATGAAAGCAATATACAATGCTGCTTTTTACATGCTTTGTTAATGCAACCACATAATATTATCTGGGATAAGCCATTCGATAAATCCTTGGGGGAAAAGTGTTTTTCAACTTTGCATGCACCTACACACACATGTATATAAATATATTTACTCAAAAGCATCTAAAAAAATAATACATACATATGCATTGCATCAAAAGTTTACTTTCATCTATTAAATTTAAATTCATTTGAGAAGTGAATAATAATTAAATTTAGAAAATAGAAATTTGGAGCAAGTGGCATTAGAAATCTGAAAATGGAAGCAAAGCTCAGACAACTGATGTACAAAAACATTATGACAATATTTATGTGAAAAGAACAAGCTATTCTAGCTTATTGTTTTCCAATGGTGTATCTTGGTGCCATCATTTCCAAAAGATAATTATGCATACAAACCCTGCTTTCTATCTGCTGGAGAAAACGAGTCTCATTGCTATAAGTTCTCATTCTAATGCTCATATTTATGATGCTTTCAATGATGGAAATTACTGATTGCATAATGGACTGCATGAATAATCTAAGTATTCTACTATAAAAACTTATACCCAACAAAAAATATACTGTGTGTTGTGATACATCAAGACTATAGTTTGTGTTAGTGTAGTCCTTCTTTTGGATTATACATAGTGGAAAGCCTTTTTTTCACTTCACATATCATAAGTCTTAGAGATACCCAATGCCAACAACAATCAACAAGAATTGAATGTAAGCACACCCACAAGCCATGTCATGCCAGGTATGCTATGACCAAGTCTTCTGGCCATAACGATTTGTCCTTTATCAAAGCCACCGAAATCATTTTGACTATAACTGCAACATCCTAGACATAAAAATGAAATAATCAAGGCTGGTTTATCTGTTTATGTCACCCTGATATTGACATATACAGTTGTTATGAGACAGTAGTTGTTATTCTTGTCATATTGTTGCTGGACATAATGGTACAAAGGAGCATTAAAACATTTATCTAGCAAGAAGTACTTCCCCAACCCCAAAATATTGTAATGTTTGGTAATTTGGTCAGATTTTGAGAAGTAGGCTAGGCCAATAAACTTTCCATACCTGCTCATGTGTGTGCATAAATGATATAAAATGTTCCCTTGTTCATGTTTTTTAAAATATAAGATTCTACATTTTGCATCAAAATCTTTGTAAATGTCATTAAAACTAAGCTGTGTTAGAAATTCCTTAATTTCTAATCTTTAGACCTGTGAAACTCATCATATAGATGAGCAGAAAATGACTATACTCACCTGTGAAATATTTCTCTCTCATCCAAAGCAAGCTTTTTAGACATTTCTTCATATCTATAAAGAATCCAAACAACAAAAAAATTGGTTAAGAGCACAATAGTCTAGTTCATGAACAACTATATGGGTTTTCTTTGACAAACTTTTAAAAAATAAATAAAAATAAACGCAAAATGTCCAAGATGGTAGTAAATAGTAAAATAAAAGCAGCAAAATTAAAATTCTAAGTCAGAGCTGAAGTCTCTTAATCTCATTGCCAATCATCTTGCTGCTGGTACTTCATGAAAGAATATGGACAATCAGCCCTATCTTAATTACAGGTGTGATATCAACAAAAATGAATCCTATTTCTGTCATCAGGCAGGACAGACAGTGCCCAAAGAATAAAATCACAATTACCAAAGGGCAATTTAAAAAGAAATCATTTTCCCCATTTCAAATGGAGACAAACCAGAAGGGTTAAATTTAGTTTTTTTTTTTTTTTACTTCCAGTGAATTAAAACAAAATCCCTTCCTAATGCATTCCTTTAGTAAAATGTATACTTCTAGTGTTTTTCTATGACATTACTAATAATGTCCAAAACATTATATATTGTCTTTGTTCCTAAACTATAACAATTCAAACCATCTCTCTTTTGAATCATTCTATTTATGTTATAAATCTTTCAAAAACACACAATTTTGTGATTGTTTTAACAATTTCCCCTTTCTTCTAAAGAAAGAAGACTTTTTGCCTCCTAATGTTTTTAGGGGATTCTTCCTTGAAAAGAACTGCTAACTTTGGTCTTTGGTCCCTGTTACTCTAAATGAAATGGTTGATTAGAATTTTATTTCCTTCCAAAATAAGGAGTGGAGCCTATAAACAGACACTTTTTTTCTTGAAGTGCTGGGGGTGGCATAAGTGAATCATTGTTCAAGGCTGACTCAGGAAGATAGTTCAATGAACCCCACCTATTGCATCCTGTTTCTTCTACCTCCTTTTCTGGTCACCTAGTTTTCTGCTTGTCTGCCAGCTGGAATTAGGTAGTGGAAAGAGAGAAAAAGAGAAAGGAGGAGGTTCCAAAGACAGGCTGGATAGTGTTGATGGAATCACAGATGGAGTATTCTTTTAGTAAGTATCTCAACAAAATGATATAGAGAGATTCAGAAAATGAATAAAAAATACTATCACCTTATTGATTCTGAATTACAAAACAAAGAACAGACAGTTTGGCAAATATCTTGAGGAAGAGGATTTGGCCTGTGAAAGGAAATGTTCAAGGAAATAAAGTCATCAAGATACCCTTTTTCACAAGCCTGTTTTTTATTCTGGCTTCTTTATCAATTGATAAAAAAGAAGAAACTTAGGTGACAATTTCTCAGGTCAATATGACCACTTCAGAAGAAAAACTTTGTTGACAAAATCATTCCTGTGAAATGCTTTACAATTTTTAATATCAAAATGTAAGTATATATTATATCCAATCTGAGATAATTATTTAATCATAACTGTACAATCTGTTCTTTTTTTTTAATTCAATCCAAGAAAGCAAGTTCTAAAGAACTATTGGGAGCAAAATTCTATAATTTTCTCCCAACCATAAAATGATACATTCAAAATGCATTAATTCTTCAAAATTACTTTTTCTTTCTCAACTCAAACACAGAAACAAATCGTAAATAATGAAGAATGTTCTGTTTGTTAATAAAGCAATTAGTTATTTTGTCAATGCTAAGTGAGAAACTGTTGAACTCAACAATCTATAAAGAGACTTAAGTAGTTTCAAAGATTTCTCCTCATGAAAAGACATTGATCTCTGCTGAGGACAATGCTGAGAAGTGGTCAAGTGGGAAGAGAGAACAAGTCAGAATTTCCTCATCAGCTGATTTATGTTTAGCTCTTCTCTGTTACTTTATAAACAAAGAACATTTTTAAAAACAGTCAGTATTACCCAAGTGCAGTTGTTGAAACATTCATAAGTTAATTACCATAATAATAAGATGGTAACTATTGTGGTCAGGTCCAACAACAAAGTCACTCCTGATGTTGCACAAAATACATGAGGTAATAATTTTGGTCTCTATGATAATTCAATCATTGTTTGTAGCAATATGTATTTTTAGGGATCCATAGTGGTATTCTGATGCCCAAGATTAACTACATTTACAGAGATGAAGGGTTCCAACTACTCTGATAACAATTTGGCAGATTGGATGATTTTTTTAAAAATATTACAGGCTAACTTTTAAAATTAGCTTGCCTTACTTGTGGTACCAGTGAGAAGAAAATCAATTCAAAATTTAGTAGTGATAAGCTTTCAAATGTAACCATATTTACTACTTGTAACACAATCTAACCATGCTATTTGTTCATAGCTAGCAGAAGAATTGGATTCATGCCTTTCCCAAGAGCATATGTGAAGTAAATGCAAACTGTCTCATCCAAAGCTTGAACATGGTTTGCAGATTCCATTCTCTTAACCATAGGCCACCCAAACCTCCAGTTTTTAAAATTCTATAAAATTACTGTATATTCCAATATTCTTTTCATTGATCCTGACTTGGCATCTCAACTTCAATCACTTTCTCTCACTGATGTGACATATGGCATCTCTATGTCTTTTTCTACAAATATTTTCATGGCAACTCTTCTGATGAGCTTTTTTCCCCTGGTGCCCCAACTATATGAATTAAAGTGTGTGCTACTAAATTGGCATCAAAATCACACCCGTTTACTGTTGAAATAGTTAAATGCAACTGCCATTTCTACTTCAACAGTTTCTTTTCTCATACTTCCCACCTGTGGAATTCCCTTCCATTTACTTGCTTCCCTGATAAATACAATCTTCAAAAATTTAAATGCAACATCAATTGCCATCTTCTGTCAACTTGAATCCCATTCATCTTTTGTCCTTTCCTCAATCCTCCCTATACTCAGTTTTTTCTCTCACTTTCACTCTCTGTAACCCCCTGTATACTAGTGGTGTTCCTACCTTGCTTGGGGTGAAATGATTTAAAAAAATATAATTTAATGAGGTTAAAATTTATTGTTTTACATTTTTGATAACAGATAATTTATTTCAGTTTCATTAAGTTATAAAGAGGCATAACATTGATTTGAAAATATTGTGTAGAGAAAGAGAAATAAACAAGTCTCTTGTGAACAATCTTCCATTGAAAATTATCTGTAGTTCTGAAGTTTTTATTACCTCAGAAAGATAAATATTACTCGGTTTGAAAGGAGAAAAAAGTCAGCTCTCATCTAACATGTAATTATGTGAACAAGAAACATGTTTTTGTGCATTTCAGTGATTTGCAAATTAAAAGGTAAAAATTTACAGAATTTTGAAGACAAAATTTTATTTATAACATCATTATTTTGGCATTTTCCTGATTTTCTATACCCTTATGAAACCTTTCAGTTAAATTGTGTATTCTATTAAAAAAGAATTAAGAAATTTTCCATCCTGAAAGAATTGGGAGTTCTAACAAGCAAACAATGACTATCATATTAAGAAAAATGATAGCCTGATGATGACGGCATAAGAACTTCCTAGATCTATGATTGTTTACTGTTGCATTTGCAATCTGAAAACAAGAAATGTCATGCAGCAAAATCATGAAACAATTTCTTTGCTCAGATAAAAGTTTTCCAATTTATCATTTAAATGAACTATAGCCCACTGACATAACAGTGTGTTCAAATTCCAGTAATTCATAATAAAGAATTCCCTTTTTAATCCCACCAAAAACAGAGAAAAGTGAAATCTATTTAGTTTAAGATGTTGAAGGATGTTCTAAATTTAGCCATGATTAGTTTTGGAGTCTCATGAAACCATTTTTCATTGCCACTGACCACTGTGTCTAAAAATGTCTATTTTGTGTGTTGAAAAATTAAAACAAGTTCATGTGAAAACCATTTTTCTGAGTTGTTTTTCCCCTCAACGTAACCATAACATATTTGGGAAGGATATTAGAATAATCCAGAATCTATACTGGCAGAAAACTGCCTGTATACAGATAGAAAATGAATTCAGTAAATATACAAAAAATAGAGCAGAGTGTAAGACAAGAATTTACTCAACTTATAGTGGTGTAAGACTGGACTTAATCAACCTATACAGTGAGATGATTCTGAGAGAATTAGAAGTCCTATCAGTAGTCATTATTAGTGGCCACATTCTTAACAACATAAGATATAAAAATGACACAGCATAGATAGCAGACAAAAAAGAACTCCTACAAAACATACAGTAGGAAAGCAAGAAGAAAGGACTAAACATCAATTGCAAGACTGAATGCATGGTTGTTTGCAAAAGGAACAGTCCTACATGCAAATTGGGTATGCCAAAAAACAAATACAATTTAAATATCTGGGAAGTGTTTTAACAGAGGACAGAAAGTTCCACACTGAAATCCAAAGCTGCAATGGGATAGCGAAATTTGCCTTACTAAAGCTAAGCAAAGAATTAAGAAACAGGAAAATTTTATTAGAAACATAGAAAAGAGTACTGAACTGTTATGTAATATCTGCCCTCCTATATGGCAGTGAATGCTGAACAATCTCCTTTAAGATGAAGAAGAGACTTGAAGCAACAAAAATTTGGTTCTACAGGAGGACACTGAGAATAGCATGGACCAAACATGTGAGTAACAATAAAGTTTTAGAGAAAATGGAAAGAAAAAGGACCCTTATATTTAACACAAAAAGAGATAGGTTATTGTTATCTTACTTATTATAAAATGCGGATTGTGTGTGTGTGTGTGTGTGTGCATGTCTGTACGTTTATATATTGTATCAGATTTCCTACATTTTTCAACCGATTTCAACAAAACTTCACAGGACTGCATAAAATTACCTTGTGGTGGTTCTGACAGCGCCAAAAATTGGAAAAACACAATTGTTTTTGCATGAAATCAATTTGAAAACACAATAAAACACGATTCTGTCGCCAGAATAAAAGGGGGACAACTCATATCGAGTTATACTTATTATAAAACCCAGGTTGTTTGTGTGCGTGTGTTCATTTATATATGGGATCGGATTTCCTACATTTTTCAACCGATTTCAACAAATC